TTGGAAAATGTTGCCGACTACTGGCAAAAAACTACTATTTTAGTAAAGTTGCAAATTTTGCCAATTTAATAAAAACAAATTCATTTGTTGTTTATTATTTCGAAAACTAAACAAAATTTAGAATCTGAACAACTTTATTTTTATGCAATTGAAAGATTTCGTTCAGAATGTCGAAAGATTGAAATATTAAAAAGCCTAAAAGTGCTGACTACTGGTACACTTACCCTAGTTTCCCATTTGAAATGTTGATTGTCGGCAATTCAACTTTGTTTCAAATTGATATAACACCCCAACCCTCCGGGTACGAATATTAGCATACAGATTTTATTACTTCATTTTTATTCATTTGGATTCCTCAAAATGGGCAGCTATCATCTCTTTGCACTCCCTTAATTTCACAAAATCAAATTTCTTGACTTGATATTTTGTTGCTTTACTGTCCCCTATCAGTTTCGCCAAGAATTGTTACAATTTATCAACAAAATAAGAACCAAAAAACACTTGAAACTACAAATTAATCGAATGCACATTTGTACGGCTTCAGAAATTAATGCCACAATATTGCCATGGAAACTAATGGACATGATGTTGATTTCCACTTGGATATATAAATACAGACTATGTGCAGAATTTTTTTTTTTTAATTTCACATTACTATTTTCTAAACGATTGCTTGGAAATACTTCGAGAACTGATAAGTGGACATTTTAAGAATTGAAATTACACTATGACTACCTACCACTAGGTCTTCATGGCATCTAAAATGTCACTATTTTTATAGCCTACACCAAAAGGTGGGCAGCGTATTATGTCTTTGAGCATTTGCTTGTAAAAGGCAAATTATGATTTGCGTAGAATCACATTCTGAGTCGATTTATGCATGTCCGTCTGTTCGACTGTCGGCCGGTCCGCCTATCTCTCCATATATTTTTGTAAAAAAAAGTAAAGGTTGTATCTATTGTCCGATCCAGATTTAATTTTGTACAAATCATTTGTTTGACCCAAGGACGAACCCTATTGAAATGTTTTCCAAATGGAAAGGAATTGAGCCTAGAAACAAGTATGTCAAATATAGTGAAAATCGGTTCGGATATTGCTATAGCTTCCATCTATATTGTTCGTCCGAATTGCTATTTTTGTTCTCCACAGCCTAATAACAAAGATATTTGGGGAAATACAGGGTGAGATAAAAAACTGCAACAAAATCAAACGCCATAATTTTTGCATTTTTTTAAATTTTATTGAATGAAGGCATAACATATCGGAAATAGCATAAAGTTTTAGAATAAGTTTAGATTTGGTCACCTTTGGTACGAATTATTGCCTTGAAACCGTCACACGCTGCCCGAATGTTGCTGTCCAGTATTTTGCGCTTTCCCGGCGAAGCGCTTCCTTGAGGTGATCGACACTTTGGATTTTTTTTTTTAGTGTAAACCTTGCTTTCCAAAATGCTGCAGATTGGTATCCGGAGATTTTGGTGGCTGGAAATGAAGCGAAGAACCTCATTTTGTAACCATTCTTGGCTGGCACATGCTGAGTCCTGTTGGAATCTCCAAGGTCTGCGCCCAAAATGTTTGCGTGCCCAAGGCTTTAATACACCCTCCAGAATATGTTCGCGATTTTTCATCGTCATTTATTCTGATGCCAGGGTCTATTAATACGAGCGGAGAGCGACCATCGGCTGTTGTGGCGGCCCACACCATCCCCCTAGCCGGTGCTTGAGTGCTGTTGGCCAACCAAAGGTGTTTGTTTACAATCTGCTGGACAACGAATGTTTTCTCATCAGAGAAAACCAAATTCGGCAGTTCACCTCTAATTTTTCAAATGGGCTATATAGGTCCACGTTTAAGTATAGGTCCCAAATAACGGTATCTCCCTATATTCGGTATTTTGATGATTTTAGAGACATTATTCACGGGAATTGTTTTTAATTTCGTATTTGAAGTTCCTAATAGCTTCTACAGTCCATGACAGAAAATTGCTTATGCAAGTCTAGGTCTTTGTGTAGCCCTCATATATCGGTACCTCCATATATTCGGTATTTAGATGATTATAAGTACAATATTTAACGGAATTTTTTGAAATTTCGTATTTTTACTTCGTGACGGATACTGCAGCCTATGACAGAAAATTGTCTTTGCAGGCCCAGTTGTCCGTATAGCCCCCATATAACGGTATCTCCCTCTATTCGGTATTTTGATGAGTTCAGTGACATTATTCACGGGAATCGTTTCAAATTTTGTATTCGAAGTTCCTAATAGCTACTATAGCCTGTGGCAATCAAAAGCTTATGCAGGTCCCGGTCTTCGTATAACCCCCATATAACGATACCTCCCTATATTCGGTATTTTTATTCACAGGAATTGTTTCAAATTTTGTACTTGAGGTTCTTAATATGTACTATAGCCTGTGACAGAAAATTCCACGTCTTGGTGTAGACCCCAAATAAACGGTAACTCCCTGTATTTGGTATTTTTAAGATTTTAACAGAATTTTAAACTGATTCTATTTTCATTTTTTTTTTTATTTTTATTTTTTATTTATTTAATTTTTTTTTTTTTTTGAAAATTTCCAAATTCGTTCCACATGGTGGAGGGTATTCGAAATTCGGCTCGGACGAACTTACTGCTTTTTAACTCTGAATTTTTTAAATTATCTTCTCTTTCATTAACACATGATCGCCTTTATCATATTTGTCAGCATTTGTTTAATTCTTACGATATTTGTTTAATTCTAATTAAGTTAATTTACCATAATTTTAAATCAGAAATTCATTTATTCTTTAATAACTGAAAACTAGAAATATTCATTTTGTGTGAATGCAAGAATATAACAAAATATAACAACTTTCATACTTCTCTTGCAAATAGGACTGTTATATTATCAACAGCCTAAAAGTATGCTTTAAATGTTATCGCTCTTTGTATTAGCACTGCTACATGAATGTATAAAATGAAATCATAACAAGTAAAATAGTATTAGACGGTTTTTTGCCGGCAAATGTATACCCCCAGCCATGAGTTATGATTTCTCTAACTATTGATCCGAAGCAGTTGGCCAATATTGCCCAATTCCTATCTGACCTAAAACAGATATACATATTACAACCTGCCAGATTTAGACCTTATCGACTACTTCCTATACTTTGTATAATATATGTGCAATTTTTTGGAAAATGTGGAAATATGCGTGCGGTAACCGTTTCTTACTTCATCTAATAAAGATAAAAATATTAGTATGTGCAGGAAATCGAACATTTATACCCAATTTTATGCGAAGTCATAAATTTCATATCAGATTTCTGGTTAAGAGTAATAAATAGATATAGCAAGTTGTAAATAATCGCTGACTTGTTTCGCAAGCTATGACATATATAAGCATTGGAAATTGTGATTTTTTGTGGCTGAGGTACCAGAAAGGATTGGCAGATATGTATCATCTTCACAACAGATCTTGTGTTAGCAAAAATATTTGGATATGTGAAATTTGAAGAGAGTTGGATGTTTATTTCGATTTCTTTAAGCGTCTTGTTTTTCAAAAATCTTGAACCCTACCTATGTGGGGGATGTACAAGAAAAAATAGTCCTAACTCCACCATCTTTATGACAGATCTTATGGTTATGGAAATATTGAGATGTACCTAGTCTGCAATGGAATCGGATGTTAATTTCCCATTTTATGAGCGTCATGGAAAAAATGTTGACCCTTTGTGTGGGAGGTACCAAGAAGAGTGGACTGATATATCCCATCTTTACACCAGACCTTGGGTTCATAAACATATTGTGGTGTGTATAATTTGAAGAGAGCCAGAGACTTATTTCGGATTTTCTGATCGTTTTGGTTACTCAAAATTTACACCCTTTGTGGGGTAGGTACCAGAAGGAATGGTCCGATCTCTACTGTCTTTATAAACTTATCCTGTTTTGAAAGAAATATTCAGATGTGCCAAGTCTAAATGGAATCGGATTTTAATTTCACGTTTTATGAGCTTAATGGATATTCAAAATTTCGGGCGTTTATGTAGGAGGTACGAGAAGGAGTTGACCGATATATTCCATCTTAACAACAGATCTTGCGTTAGAAAAAATATTTGGATGTTTGAAATTTGAAGAGAGATGGATGCTTATATAAGTGTTATAATTATTCAAAATTTTAACACTTTTGGGGGAGGTGGACCGATAATGGAGTGGACCGATATTGTCCATTTTCGCACCAGGTCTAGCACTGACGCAAATATTGGGATTTGCAAAGTTGGAGCAAATTCGGATTATCGTTTCTCCTTCTGTGCAGAAAAAATATTTTTGAAAATGTCAACCTTTTGTGGGGGGAGGTACCGGAAGGAGTGGACCGATATATTCCATCTTAACACCAGACCTTTGGTAAATAAAAAAAATTGGGATGTGTGAAACTTGATGACAATCGGACACTTACATCACATTTTATAAGAGTTGTAATTATTCAAAATTTTGAACCTTTGTGGGGGAGGAACTTGATGGAGTGAACCAATAGTGTTTATTTTTGTACCTGACCTAGCACTGACGCAAATATTAGGATTTTCAAAGTTGGAGCAAAATCGGATTATCGTTTGTCTTTCTGTGCAGAAAATATTTTTTGGAAAATTTTGACTTTTTTTGGGGGAGGTACCAGAAGGAGTGGTCCGATATTACCCATCTCCGAACTCGATTTAAGTTTGACAAAAATATCACGATGTTCCAACTTTGGATCAAATCGGATACACTCTTCGAGAGTTATAGTGCTAGATCGACTCCAAATGTCCTGAAACGGATTTGGCACAAAGAGACCTAGGGTCTAAAACCGTTATTTCGACTAGGCATGTTTTGAACTTATTAAATGATATATACCCTCTGTAGCCATATGGCTGAGAGTATAAAAATGGAGTATAATTCTGGAATGCATGCACAAATTTCGATCTTAATGATTGGATTTTTTTTTCAAATACAGAAGATATTCAAAATTTTATTTCACACCACTTGGCTAATTCATTCTTTACATGGTTTTTTCACAATTTTAACACTAATCTTATATGTGGTCAACGGGATAAGTGATTTATTCTTCAGCTCCTCATACATGCCTCCGGTTATCAAATAGACAACTTTGGGGCGATAGAGGAACGATACAACTGGGTTACGGCTACCAATTCGTATATTGCCCATGACATAGAAACCCGGCTTGAGGGGACAATCAAAGGACATATTGCTCTGTTTCACGGCGGTTATATAGCCTTGCTTGACCAGCGGTACTTTACTAAATGTCGAGACCAAATCACACATTCGTGCCGTTACATTGTACAGAGTCGACGAACGCTTGTCCTCACGCACCACAATGCGAAATTTCGAAACCGGATATGCTATCTCCCGATTAACCGTCGTTTCCGAACGTATGCTGCCCGGGTCGTCAAATGTCATGTTGACAATGAAATCCGGACGATTGTCGGTCCAAGAAATATTGTAGAAGATGAGTTGATAGCAGAGTGCCTAAGGATACACAAAATAGATATAAAAAATCGGATTTTGAGATTTTTTTAAATTAATAAAACCTACCTCCCTGCAGAATGTTGTTTTCGTGCAATTTATTATTAGAAATATTGTTATTAAATTAAAACTCAGAAATATTTTCTTTTCTCTGTATTCCATGTTGCGGAAAATCCATTGACTGCAAATTCGAATCATAAAAATCGAATGATATATATTGTTCTCCCATATTTTTTGGAGGCACTTTTAACCAAATTAGTTTATAATTATATTTTTGTTTTTACTAACTGGAATGTAATTAGTTGTGAAATTGATTTTTATCTTGATTTTGAAAAATCATAATACGCAACACCGTGCCGGAGTTGAAAGTACTCGCTGGCGTCCAGTATATGTTGGGTCATCGTAAATATCAGTTCATCGTTAGAACACACCTTTTTTAACACCTTTTGTTTAAAACGATACGGCCAAAACGTGCCTCATCGAATAAAAGATTATAGACATACGTCTCTTTGGACCAAATCCGTTTCAGGACATTTGGAGTCGATTTAGCGATGTCCGTCCGTCTGTCTGGCTGGCTGGTGCGCATGATAAATCTAGAAGGGAGTATCCAATTTAATCCAAACTTGGTACATCGCAATATTATTATCAAACTCAGATCGAGTTCGGAGATGGGCAAATTTCAAAACTTAGGTCCATTGTGTGGGAGGTACCAGAACGAATGGTCCGATCTCTACCATCTATATAAAAGATCTTGCGTTTATGAAAATATTGAGATGTGCCAAGTCTGAATGGAATCGTGTTTAAGTGTTTTAAGAGCTTGATGAATATTCAACATTTCGACCTTTTGTGGGGGAGGTACTTGATGGAGTGGACCTATATTATCCATTTTTGCACCTGACCTAGAACTGACGTAAATATCAGGATTTGCAAAATTGGAACAAAATCGGATTATCGATTCTCTTTCTGTGCAGAAAAAAATATATTTTTTTGAAAATCTCGATCATTTGTGTGGGAGGTATCAGAAGGAGTGGACCGATATATTCCATCTTAACACCAGACCTTGGGTTAATATAAATATTGAGATGTGTGAAATTTGAAGACAATCGGACTCTTACATCACATTTTATGAGAGTTGTAATCATTTAAAATGTTGACCCTTTGTGGGGGAGGTACTTGATGGAGTGGACCTATATTATTCATTTTTGCACCTGACGTAAATATTAAGATTTGCAAAGTTTGAGCAAAATCGGATTATCGGTTCTCTTTCTGTGCAAAAAATATATATTTGTTAAGGTTCCGATTGTCTGCAAATTACATACATCACACCAACTCAAGGTCTGGTGTGAAGATGAAATACATCGGTTCACTCCTTCTGGTACCTCTCCCACAAAACGTCGAAATTTTCATAAAATATTTTTTGCACAGAAAGAGAAACGATAATCCGATTTTGCTCCAACTTCGCAAATCTTAATATTTGCATTAGCACTAGGTCAGGTGCGAAAATGGACAATATAGGTCCACTCCATCAATTTTTACCCCACTAAGGGTCAAAATTTTGGATAATTACAGCTCTTACAAAATGTGACATAACAGCCTGATTATCTTCAGATTACACACATCACCATATTTTTATTGACCCAAGCCCTGGGCCTCAATTCTTGTTCTATGAAAATGTGAAATGAAAACTTTTATAAAGGAAAGAAATGTCAAATGAAAAATTTTATAAAGGAAATATTTTTCATTTCATATTTTCATAGAACAAGAATCCAGCCCCTGGTGTGAAGATGGAATATACCGGTCCACTCCTTCTGGTACCTCCCCAACAAAGAGTAAAAATATTGAATATCTATGAAGCTCATAAAATGCGAAATAAACATTCGATTCCATTCAGAATTGGCACCTCTCAATATTTTCATCAACACAGGATCTCTTATGAAGATGCCAGAGATCGAAAGGTTCTTTCTGGTACCTCCCCCACAATGGGTCAAAGTTTTGAATAACCAGCGAGGAACCTCATTTTGTGACCATTCTTAGGTGGCGCGTGCTGAGTGCGATGGTGCTGAGTCCTGTTGGAATGTCCAAGGTCTGCGGCCAAAATTTTTCCGTGCCCAAGGCTTTTATCCACCGTCCAGAATATTTTCGCGATGATATTCCGCATTTATTCTGATGCCACGGTCGATTAATACGAGTGGAGAGCGACCATCGGCTGTTATGGCGGCCCACATCATCACCATGGCCGGCGCTTGAGTCCTGGTGGCCAACCGAAAGTGCACATTTTCAGCTGACCTCTTTGGCAAGTGAACGCGATCATTTTGTTTGTTTACAAACTGCTGGTCAACGAATGTTTTCTCATCGGAGAAAACCAAATTCGGCAGTACACCACTTTCGGCCAAACGAAGCAACTCTTTAGCTCTTTTGAGTCTATTTTCTTTCTGTTGCGGTGTAAGTTCTTGCACTTTTTGGAACTTCAGCTCATTTTTCAATATTTGCCGAATGGATTATTGCGATATGTTCAGCTCACGAGCCATTTTTCGGCCACTGCGACGCGAATTCCGATTAAGTCGCTTCCTTACTTTTCGAACCATTTCTGCTGATGTTGCAGTTTTCTACGCAGGCTACGCTACCAGTATCACGGTAACGAGCGATGGTACGAGACACAAAAGATTTATTCACATTTAAATGCTGGAGTGCTCTTACGATAGTCACTTGTGGTTTTCCAGCCAAATATAAAGAAATCACAAAATCACGTTTGAATTCCATCACGAAAAACTTTTTTTCTGGAAAATTCTCACCAAAATGCTTTTGTACGCTTGTAAGCAATATAATGAGCTATCATTGGAATAATTTTGAACAGCTGTCGGACTAGTGTCTTAGCGATGACAGCAGTCTGAAGTGGTTGCAGTTTTTTCATCTCACCCCGTAAAGTGAAGGAAATAGCCAATATAGTCCAAACATGGAACGTCGTAATACATATCATATATCTTATATATTTAGGTCCGACATTAATGGTCCAATGGACAATATTATATAAATTATGATTTTTATCAAAATATGTAATAAACTCACATAAAGTCCAGTATTAACCCTTAAATGTGTTTTGAGTATTCATGATTTTCAGGCGTTTATGCAAGATTTAGACTTTAGATTATCCTTGGGCACAAATTAGAATATTTTTACTGTAGTTAAAAGGAATTTTTAACCATGCATTAAAAAGGACCAAAAACCTCGTTATAAAAAATGTTGTCGAAGACACTATATGAGCAAATTGCAAGGATTTCAAGAAATATGAATCGGAAAAATTGATTAAATGTTGAAATTGGGGATCTTGCCTTCTATATTCAGGTTACATTCCGATATAAACTTTCAAAACGCCGATGCGATTGAAAGTTAAATTAGAGTTGAAAGTACTAGCTGGCGCCCATTGTGTGTTAAGTCATCGCAACATCATTAAAACTTTGAAAATTTTAAAATATCATTCTTAAAATTAAGTTATACGGAATTCAAAGTTACAGGTCTAATGTCATGTTTACGTCAGATCTTTTTGCAGGGTTCAAGAGGATTTATTTGAAGTATAAGCAATGGATATGACAATTTTAATCCAAATCCAGTGGGTAAACTCTTTTATATGTAAACGTACTGTAAGGATTGCTAAAAATTCTTTCCATAAATGTAGTCTCAAATAAAGCTATGACATTTTTTAAAAAATAATATTTAATTTTTTATTTATTATTTTTTTTTTTAATTTTGTTCTATTTTATAGTAATTCAGCTAAAATATAATGGAATTTCACATTTGTCTACTTATAAGTAAAACATTTTCTATTATTTTTTTTTTAATTTCTAAATGTTCTTAGTCCTTGTATAAAAGTCGATACTTCTCCGCTAAACGTATCATTGCCGCAATTTTCTCTTTTATTTTCTTTCCGCCCACATTTTTGCTCATCACTTCCATGTTCATGTCCTTGAAGTCGTCGGGCATGGTGCTGTTATCGGCCAAAATAATTTTCGTCATAAATGTGGCGTGGCATATTTCAACGGGGGCGCTGCGATGGATTTCCTTCATGAAACTGAAAATGAAAAAACACAAAAAAAAATTATTTCTTAAATTAAGGTTCATTTCAGCATAAAAATATAAAACAATAAAATACAAAATCAACGTTTAAAATAAATGTGTTCATATATTTTTTTTAATATATAAAAAATTTAACAAGTTAAAAAGTATTATTCGGTTTCCGACAGATGTATACCCTTAGCCAATGTTCTATTATTTGAATACATCTTGACTTCTGTTATGATTATTGAAATTGTTGACCCTCTATGAAGTAGGTTCCGAAGGAATGGGTCAATATTGTCCATTTCGTATCGGTCCAAAATAAATATGATATAAATATTGCGACGTGCCAGGTATGGTTTATATTGGTTACTTTCTTCACTTTATACGAGATTTGCGATAATTTTTAGAAAAAGTTAAAATGTACATAAGCTACCAGATATAGTCGACCGAAGCATTCCATTTTCACACCTCATCTAATAGACATGACAAAATTACAAGAAATCGAACATTTGTAACCAATTTTATGCGAAATCATAAATTCCAGGTTTCTGGTTGATTTAAATATAACAACTTGTAAATAATCGCTGACTTGTTTCAAAAGTTATGACAGTTATAATTATTGGAAATTGTAACCCTTTGTGGGTGAGGTACCAGAAAGGGGTTCGCATATATATATATCATCTCCAAAACAGATCTTGTGTTAACAAAAATGTATGTATGTGTGAAATTTGAAGAGAGATGGATGGATGCTTATTTGGCTTTCTTTGAGCGCTTCGTTTTTCAAAATCATGAACCCTATGTGGGGGAGTTACCAGACGAAATGGTCCGATCTCTACCACCTTTATGACAGATCTTTTTTGATGGAAATTTTGAGATGTATCAAGTCTGAATGTAATCGAATAGGATATTCAAGGGATATTCAAAATGTTGATCCTTTGTGGGAGAGGTACCAGAAGGAGGAGACCGAATTTGAAGAGAGCCGGAGACTTTTTTCGGATTTTATGATCGTTTTGGTTATTCAAAATTTACACCCTTTGTGGGGTAGGCACCAGAAGTAATGGTCCGATCTCTACCATCTTTATGACAGATCTTGTGTTGATAGAAAAATTGAGAAGTGCTAAGTCTGAATAGAATAGGATCCTTAAAATTTGGCCCTTTTTGAGGGACTTACCAGAAGAAATGGTCCGATCCCTACCGTCCTTATAACTAATCTTGTGCTGATAGAAATATTGAGATGTGCTAAGTCTGAATGGAGTAGGATGTTTATGAGCTTCATGAATATAGAAAATGTTGACACTTTTGTGGGGAGGTACCAGGTGTGGAATATTGGATTGTGGATTCCAAATTCAAACCAGACCTTGGGTTAATATAAATATTGTAATATGTGTGAGTTGTAGATAATCGGAGTCTTAGATCACATTTTATAAGAGTTATAATTATTCAAAATTTTGACCCTTTGGAGGGAGGTATTTGAATGAGCGGACTGATTATGTCTATTTTCGCACCTAATTTAACACTGAAGGAAATATAAAGATTTGCAAAGTTAGAGCAAAATCGGATTATCCTTCCTCTTTTTATAAAGTAAATTATTTTCTTAGTAAATTTGACATTTTGTGGGGAGATACTAGAAGGAGTGGATCGATGTGACCCATCTCCGAATTAGATCTAAGTTTGATAGCAACATTACGACGTACCATATATATGTTATAACCCTCTTCAGGCATATGGCTGAAGGTATAAAATCCAAGTCAATTAATTTTTTTGCCGAAATTACAGGAAAACGCGAAAGATTATGAAAGTAGAGGTAACAAGTAAAAAAGCAGTTAGCTCGGATGGGTCGAACTTTAAATACCCTACACCATTTGGAACAAATTAAAAAATTTTCAAAATAAAAAGAGAAATCCCTTAAAATTCCGTTAAAATCTTAAAAATACCAAGTATAGGGAGTTACATTTATATTAGGTTTTATTCAAAGACGTGGACCTGCATAAGCATTTTTGTCATAGGCTGGTAACGTAACCGGACGTCAAACCAGAAATGGTTCGAAAAGTAAAGAAGCTACTTGATCGAAACCAGCGTCGCAGTGGGTGAAACATATCGCAATATTCCAAATATTGAAAAATGAGCTCGGGGTAAAGCCATTAAAATTCCAAAAGGTGCAAGAACTTACACCGCAACAGAAAGATAATAGACCCAAAAGTGCTAAAGAGTTGCTTCGCTTGGTGGTAAACTGCCGAATTTGGTTTTCTCCAATTCGTTTACTTGCCAAAGAGGTCAGCTGAAAATGTACACCTTTGTTTGGCCACTAGAACTCAAGCGCCGGTCATGGTGATGGTGTGGGCCGCCATAGCAGCCGATGGTCGCTCTCCGCTCGTATTTATCGACCGTGGCATCAGAATAAATGCCGAATATTATCGCGAAAATATTCTGGAGGCCTTGGGCACGCAAACATTTTGGCCGCAGGACATTCCAACAGAACTCAGCACGCGCCACCCAAAAACGAGGTTACAAAATGGGGTTCCTCACTTCATTTCCAGCGCACAATGACCACCAAAATTTCCGGATACCAATCCGTTGGTCTGTTGTGTCTAGTGGAAAGCAAGGTTGGCACTAAAAAATACCAAAGTGTCGATCACCTCAATCAAGCGCTGCCCCGGGAATGGGCCAAAATATCGCAGAGCAACATTCGCGCAGCGTATGACGGTTTCATTGGCGGTTTGAAGGCCATAATTCGTGCAAAAGTTGACCAATTCAAACAATTCTAAACTTATTCTAAAATTTGATGCTATTTCCGACATTTTTTGCTTTCTTTCAATAAAATTTAAAAAAAAAGTACAAATTGTGGCGTTTGACTTTGTTGCAGTTATTTTATCTCACCCTGTCCCTGTATACCTAGCCATATAGCTGAGGGTACAAAAAAATCGAATAAATTTTTCTTCGACCTTCGACCATTAAAGTAACATAAAAATTCGTTCTAGGAAGAGAAAATATTCTGATCAAAATTTCAATATAAATCTTAGATCTGATCTGTTACAGAATCCTTCTTGAACTTACCCCAACAATGAGTATTTATCCGTGGCTACATTTAGCGATTTCAAGCAATCAATAAATGCATTGTAATACAATATTAAAAATTCATCCATGTGTTGATCCAAGACAGGTATTTCCACGCTGGAGAATAACAAAAAGATAATATCATGAGCTAAACTTTCATATTGGGCAATTTGGAAATCGACAAATTTCACTTTTTGGGCTACGCCATTTTCATCTGAAATAAAAATTTGAAAGTTATTCTAAACTACGATTAGGAAAATTTTTCAAAAATCACAAACCATATTTCAACATTAAATTATTAATCCACAAATCACAGTGGACAATGGTGGTGTAGAGGTCATCCTTGGCATCATCCTGAGTTAGAAATTCATCGTATTCCTTCATCAATTCCACAAAGCGATTGATGTAATTTTCATTGTTATCGGTGGCAAGGGAAACGTCCTTGATCATGTCCTAAATTAGGAATTAAAATTTATTTCATAATTTAAAATCAGAAAATTGTTAAAAACTCACCCTATCCATGGTCTCCTTAACCTCAGGTGGCATATTGTTCATATTAAATCTACGGAAATATGGTCTGATATTTTTATCAAAATACTCAGGCCTCTTAAGCCTCAATGCAATGGGCAAGGCATGATATTTGGCCAATTCGACTAAAATACATTTGGTCTGTAGATAATTAAACATGACATGACGATTGCCGGCCTTAAATCCCGATGTTTGTAAATTCTCCTGTAACAACACTGCATCACGATCTACTTGTTCTGCATCGGGATTTAGAGAAATCCTACTACCATAGTATTTTGGAAAACCTTCAAAAAGTTCCCCCTCTGGTATGCCGGCTTCCAGCTGTAAATCCCGTATGGCTGAACTTAAATATTTGTATACGGCATTTTCTGTGCGACATGTGCGATCCGGTTGAAATAATGCCCAGAATAGATCATTTGTAATGGGTGGCAATTTAGCAATTAGGGGTATGTCTTCGGTTTCCCCAGTGGGCTTTTCAACATTGACCGTTATGGCCAACATAACACTGCCATAATTTTCACCTGGCTTCGTGAGATAACGGCTTGTGTACGACACCAATTTGCCACCATTCAAATGGGGTTCTATCACTGGGGCGAGATCAGCAATTCTGGGTACATCGGCCATTGTAACTAAAGGTAGGGGGAATGGGATGTATGAACAAATTAAGATTTTTTTAAATAATTATATAAAATTAAGTAACTAAATATGAGGCGCTCTCTCTCTCTCTCTCTCTTCTTATCTCTCTCTCTCCCTTTTTAACAATTGGCATTTTCTTCATAGCGAATATAAAGTTCGACCCCGTTTAATGTATCACCACACTTTTACAATGTGTGTTTTAAACAGGTTCAGGTTCATTAATGTCAGAGAATGTCTAGAGGTCTTTCATAGGCATTTATTAACATTTCACAGATTGTTTGTTTAGCTGTTACGTTGTAACGTTCAAATGACATTTTTCATTGGAGCTTCTTCGCACATTGTTCAAATATGAGGAACAAAATCAATTAAGGTATGTTATTAACTACCTTATCGGATGTTACACAAGTACATTGGGGTGTGCCGAAAAAAACATAAAAATTATAATTCCTTCACATTCAAGTAAAGCTCCGAAATAGGCGAAATTCACTCTCTTACTCTATTTTAACTCGCACTCATATTTTTCAAACAAGAGAAACTCGCGAGAGCGCCTACAATTCTCAAAAGTGTAGAGAGTAAATTTAGTATAAAACACATATTCTCTGATGATTACTGCTCAGGATTATGTTCCAATCACGAATATCAACGAACAAAAGAGAATGGCGCCCAAACAATTTTTCAAAAAAAATAACGAAATAAGTTTTATCAATTTTATCGGAAAGTCTGGCATGGTTGCCAGAGTTACGCGAAACAAGCTAAAAATTATCAGTCGATTTTGCCGACAGATGCATACCCTTAGCCAATGATCGATTATTTAACTATATTTTGACTTGTGTTCTTATTATTTAAATTGTTGACCATCTATGGAGTAGGCTCCGAAAGAATGAGCCAATTTTGTCATTTTCGTATCGGTTCTAAGTAAATATGATATAAATATTGCGACGTGCCAGGTCTGGACTATATTGGTTACTTCCTTCACTTTATATGAAATAAAATGTTAAAAAGTTGGTGAGGTACCAGATATAGCCGACCTTTATATTTTCACACTTTATATAATACAGATAAAAATATTGGTATGGACCAATTTATAAGAAAATTGAACATTCACAGGATGAAATGAAAAAACTGCAACCAACTTCAGACTGCTGTCATTTCTAAGCCACTCCTCCGACAGCTGTTAAAATTATTCCAGTGACAGCTCATTATATTGTTTACAAGCGTAAAAAAGCATTTTGGTAAGAATTTTCCAGAAAAAAAAATTATTCGTGATGGAATTCAAGCGTGATAGTGTGATTTCTTTATATTTGACTGGAAAACCACAAGTGGCTATCGTTAGAGTACTCCAGCATTAAAATGTGAATAAATCTTTTGTGTTTCGTACCATTGCTCGTTACCGTGATATTGGTAGCGTAGCACGACGTCAAGGAAGTTGACGGAAGAAAACAGCAAATAGTTCGAAAGTAATGGTTCGAAAAGTAAAGACGCCACTTGATCGAAACCCGCGTCACAGTGGCCGAAAAATAGCTCGTGAGCTGAACATATCACAATATTCCATTCGGTAAATATTGAAAAATGAGCTCGGGGTTAAGCCATTGAAATTCCAAAAAGTGCAAGAACTTACACCGCAACAGAAAGAAAATAGAATCAAAAGAGCTAAAGAGTTGCTTCGCTTGGCTGAAAGTAGTGAACTGTCGAATTTGGTTTCCTCCGATGAGAAAATATTCGTTGTCCAGCAGTTTGTAAACAAACAAAATTATCGTGTTTACTTGCCAAAGAGGTCAGCTGAACATTTGCACCTTCGGTTGGCCACCAGAACTGAGGCGTCGGCCATAGTGATGGTGTGGGCCGCCATAACAGCCTATGGTCGCTCTCCGCTCGTATTAATCGACCGTGGCATCAGAATAAATTCCGAATATATTAGGAAAATATTCTGGAGGGTGTATTAAAGCTTTGGGCGAGCAAACATTTTGGCCGCAGACCTTGGACATTCCAACAGGACTCAGCACCATCCTACTCAGCACACGCCACCCAAGAATGGTTAAAATGAGGTCCCTCGGATACCAATCCATTGGACTATTATGTCTGGAGTATTTTGGAAAGCGAGATTGGCACTAAAAAATAAAAAGGGTCGATCACCTCTAAATACTACTAAAATACCGCATAGCAACATTCGGGCAGAGTGTGACGGTTTCATTGGCCGTTTGAAGGCCATAGTTCGTGTCACAGGTGACCAATTCGAACAGATCTAAACTTATTCTAAAATTTTATGGTATTTCCGATATTTTTTGCTTTCATTCAATAAATTAAAAAAAAAAGAATTAAAAATATGGCGTTTGATTTTGTTGCAGTTCTTATTATCTCCCCCTGTATATCATATAAAGTATAGGGAGTAGTTGATATAGTCTAAATCTGGCACATTGTAATATTTATATCAGTCTAAGGTCAGCTTCGATTTGGTCAATATTGGCCAACAGTTTGAATAATCATCACTCAAGGCTGGGGGTATACATCTCTCGGAAAAACCGACTGATACTATTTTTGTTTTATTGGATCAACTGTTATATTTTCAATTTCTCTCTCGTATAATTTTTTTTCTCTCTAGTATAAATCGTATTTTTTCTCAACAACCTCTTGCTGAGTAAATCTCAATGGGAAAGTAAACGAACGGACCTATTGTTGATCAGCTATGTCGCATATACCCAATATTTCTAAATAAGAGTTCAAAAGTTATTGTCTAAGTTATAATGTAGACATAACTTTATACCAAAGATATGTCTATTACCTTCGGAATTATATTCTTCTAAAAAAAACGTGAAATTTATTTCAAATCAATTTTTATGATAGAAACCCCACCGGTTATGAATTATCTTCTGTCTATCATCAGAACACATTCGTATTTATTTTACTAACTCTCTCTCTCTCCTTCTATATCGGTCTCTCTCTCTGCCATACTCAGTATTCAGATGCAGAGAGCGTATTTTCACGACTTGGCTCTAACACTTTATCGTTAATCCCCAAATAATCCTTGTTATCATTCACCTACACTCTCGAGTTCTGAGGTAATTTGCCGCTTTGGAACGGCTCTACTGCTATAGCGCGTTATTTACACGTTTCAGGACTTATTGTTTATATTTTCATAATTTCAAATTTGGTTTGAAGCCCACCCTCACAAACAAGCATCATAAACACAAATAATAAACACAAAATAATTGCTTTCTTCCAGAATCTGCAAGAATCCATCATTTTTTTGCCTTTTTCTATTTTTTTTTTTTTTTTCTAATAAATTTACAAACTTTTGCAACTTTTTTACACACAATGTGAACTTAGAATAAACCCCACCAGGAACCCCAAGGCAATAAATTTATAGTAAACAAGAGATTTTAAAATCCAAATTTCTCTCCATTTACTATAAATGGGTTTTTAGGCCAACACCATTATCAACACGCGCTGACAACTTCATAACAAATTAAATATAATCACAGATTTTGACAATTTTTTGAACACAAAATTGTGAAACGAACTTTTTGGTTTATTAATAAAATATAACCACAAATTATGCTTATTTTTTACAAATTATTATAATTTATAATAACAATTTTAATTAGGATATTTTAATTTCAAAAAAATGGTCACTTTAACATAATTTTTCTAAATTTTCAAATCCATCACAAATTTAATTTTTTTTTCAATTTTCATTCACTTTGTCAGCACCCCATTCATTAATCTTAACTTACATCCCGTTTAACAAATTTTGGTTATTGTTTTCAAATTTCAACACAAGAGTTTTTTTTTTAAATTCGTAGGTTTTGTTCAAAAATTCACTCTGCTAAGGGTCGACGATCACCGCACACTGTCTGTCGTCTGCGAAGAACGAACTACTCGTATGCCAAAAAGCAATAGACTTTTTCAAAATGAGAAGAATTACAAAAAAAAAAAAAAAATAAACAACAGCAACAATACCAAATAGATTATGTGAAAGTAGTGGCACTAATGGTGAGACACCAACCAAATACTTATCGGGTTCTATGTTGACAATTTAGCGTTTTTCACTTTCACCGCCAAAATATGTGGCGCTACGCTTTATGGAAAATCTTTTTTAAAGAGAACTACATGAGGTTTTTTATACCCTCCACCATACATAGTATGGAGGGTATAGTAAGTTCGTCATTCCGTTTGTAACTCATCGAAATAATAATTTTAGACATTACAAAGTAGATATATTCTTGATCAGCGTAAAATTCTAAGACCTGTCCGTCCGTCTGCTGTAATGACGAAAACGAATAAAGATAGAAAGCTAACATTTCCGCAAATCAGTCTTTTTTCTCCAGGTAGGTCAAGTTCGAAGTTGGGCTATATCGGTCCACGATATCGTATAGCCTCCATATAACCGTACAGCCGATATTCGTTATTTTAATGAGTGTAGCCAAATTTTTCAATGAAGTTGTCTGAAAATCCATCCATTGTCCATATAGGTTCAGGATATCGTAAATATTTTAGCTATTTTTTCTAAGGATTTGTCTGAAAATCTACACAAGAAGTTCTTTCTAAGCACTTTAACCCCTGGAAGATAATTGTATATATAGGCCCACGATATTGTATATCCCCCATATAACGGTACCTCCCGGTATTCGGTATTTTGATGATTGTAGCCAAATTGTTGAGTACTTTGCGCTCTGGAAGTGAATGGTCTACATAGGTCCACGATATAGTACAGCCCCCAAACAACGGTACCCACGATATTCGGTATTTTGATGAAATTTAACGACATTTTTACCGGAATTGTTTAAAATTTGGTATTTGAAGTTCCTAATAGGTACTAAAGCCTTAGACAAAGAATTGTTTATGCAGGTCCAGGTCTTCGTATAGCCCCCAAATATCGTTACCTCCCGATATTCGATTTTTTGATGATTTTAGCAACATTATTCACCGGAATTGTTTTAAATTTCATATTTGAAGTTCCTAATGGGTACTACAGCCTACGACAGAAAATTGTCTATGCATGTCCAGGTCTTGGCATAGCCTTTAAATATCGGTACCTCCCGATACTCGGTATTTTGATAATTTTAACGACATTATTTACCGAAATTATTTCAGATTTCGTACTTGAAGTTCCTAATGGGTACTACATTGTATGACAAAAAGGTGTCATTGCAGGTCCATGTCTTCGTATAGCCCGCATATAACGATACCTCCTGATATTCGGTATTTTGATGATTTTAGCGACCGGAATTGTTTTAAATTTCGTATTTGAAGTTCCTAATGGATACTACAGCCTACGGCAGAAAATTTTCTATGCAGGTCCAGGTCTTCGCATAGCCCCTAAATATCGGTACCTCCCGATATTCGGTATTTTGATGATTTTATCGACATTATTCACCAGATTTGTTTCAAATTTCGTAATTGAAGTTCGTAATGGGTACTACAACCTACGACAGAAAATTTTCTATGCAGGTCCAGGTCTTCATATAGCCCCCATATAACCGTAACTCCCTATATTCGGTATTTTGCTGACTTTAGCAACATAATTCACCGGAATTGTTTGAAATTTAGTATTTGAAGTTCTTAATGGGTACTACAGCCTATGACAAAAAATCTCGAATGCAGATCCACGTTTTGGTATAACCGCCATATAACCGTACCTCCCTATATTCGGTATTTTGATGATATTACCGGATTTTTTTTTTCAAGTTTCGTATTTGAATATTGTAGTGGCTTATGATAAAAGTTGACTATGCAGGTCCACGTCTTCGTATAGACACCAATATAATGGCTATATACGGCATTTTTAAGGTTTTAACAGAATTTTTATTTATTTTTTTTAAATTTCCAAATTTGGTCCAAATGGCGGAGGGTATTCAAAGTTCGAGCCGGCCGAACTCACTGCTTTTCACTTGTTTTATCTCATACCTATAGAAGACCCGGAAATATTATCCAAACTATAGACGACGCAAACTTTATGTATTGAACATTTCTATTGAATTACACGCCCTTAAAACTTTTCACATCAAAACTAAATTCCCTCAAGTTAACAACACCCTAACCACTTGAAGAGCCATCATATCCGTGCGTTTGCTACTGAGATTTTCTATTCATTGCTCAATTTGTCAATTTTGAAATTAGCTCGCTTCAAACTTTTGTGAAATTCTCTGCTCTCTTTTTTTACCTTTTTTCTCAACCTCGACGTGTGCCGTCGACGGTTCTCAACAAAAACCACCAGATAACATGAATAAGTTAATTGATTTGTAGGCAAACGATAACAGGTTGCTCGCAATATCATCCCAACTGAGATAACGTTCGGACGTGATCACTATACAAATAGTTTGCAAAAACAAAACAAAAAACAATTCTCAAAGTTTTTTTTACAATGGCACTTACCAACCCACCCGCTGAAAGTAGTAATAATTTAATTTATTTTATTGAATAGACCAACAATTGTTAAACAAATACACGGACATGAAATTTTCAACAATTTTGAAAATGAACTACTGGCAGGCAGAATGTACTCGTACTTAAATGACATCGGCGGAATTGTACATACCTTGTCACGTTCGTATATACGTTCTTACACCGATGTGGCCAGAAATTGCAAAATATAATTTCGAAGTGGTCGTAATGGACAAAATATTAAATTTTTCCATAAAAAACGTGCCAAAAATGTCTAACATTCCGGGAACTTCCGATTATGTCAAATCTTAATTTTTTGCACAATATTAAAATGTTTACCAAAAAAAATTAAAAAATATTAATAACATTAGTGCTGCTCAAAACCCTGTACTGGTACATCAGTCCGCATATGAGATTATTTGAGAGAAAAACATGGTAGAATCAGACCTACGAAAAACTCTCTCGAATTCAAGTAAAAAGTGAAACTCCGTGGAAGACGTATCGGGAGCACTCCTATAAAACAAATAATGGAATAAAAAAAAAACAAGAACAAAAGCTGCTAAGTTCGATAGAGCTGAAATTGCAATACCCTCCAACATTTAAAAAGAACTTGAAAAATGAATAAAAAAAAGTCCGTTAAAAATTCCGCCAAAATTTTAAAAATTCCTAATATTAGGTGTTACAGTTATATGGGACTAAACAGCCAATGGTGCTAGAGAGGCAGGTGCCTATTACGAACTCCAAAATCCAAGTTTAAAATAATTCTGTTGAAAAACGTAGTTAAAATTATCAAAATAGCGAATAATAGGTGTCGTTATATGGGGCTTATACGAAGACGTGAATTCGTATAGACAAATTTTATGTCATGGGCGGTAGTACCCATTACAAACTTCATATACCAAATTTGAAAGAATTCCGACGAAAAGTGTGACACAAGTCATCAAAATACCGAATATTTGGAGTTACAGTTAAATGTGGGCTATACGAAAACTTGTATGGTTAATAATCTGCCAAAGAAGATGACGCCTATTACGAACTTCAATAAACAAGCAAAAAAGCAGTAAGATCGGGCGGGCCCGAACATTGAATACCACTCCACCATTTGAAACGAATTTGGAAATCTTCAAAAAAATAAAATCCATTAAGAATTCTCTTAAAATCTTAAAAATATCGAATATAGGAAGTCGCCGTTATATTGGGCTCTATACGAAGACGTGGGCTTAAATGGCAACTTTTGTCTAGGCCATTACAATATTCAAATACGAAACTTGAAATAAACCGGTAAATAATGTAGCTATAATCATCAAAATACGGAATATAGGGGTTACCGTTATATGGGCGCTATACAAAGACCAGACACTGCATAGACAATTTATTGTCATAGGCTGTAGTACCCATAACGAACTTCAAATACGAAATTTGAAAAAAATCCGATCAATAATGTCGCTAAAATCACGAAAATACCGAATATAGGAGAGCGTTATATGGGGGCAATACGAAGACCTAGATCTGCACAGACAATTTTCTGTCATAGGATGTAGTACCCATAACGAACTTGAAATATGAAATTCGAAACAATTCCGGTGAATAATGTCCCTAAAATCATCAAAATACCGAATATGGGGGTGCCGTTATATGGGGGCTATACGATATCGTGGATGTAGCCGATGTTGCCCATCTGCGAATTTAATCTGTCTGCAGACAAAAAACTGATCTATGCAAAATTTTAGCTTCCTATCTTAATTCGTTTTTACTCTAGCGTGAATAAGGGCGGAAGGACACTTTGTTGGGTCTAAAATTACTATTTCGATAAGTTACAAACAGAACGACGAACTTACCTTCTTCTATGACGAACTGACCTCCATACTTTGTATGGTGGAGGATATAAAAATTTAAAATAATTCATTTAAAAAATCTAGCTTAAATTCTTAAAATACCAAATATCTGGAGGTACAGTCATACGGAGACAATAACATAACGTGGACCTACATTCAAGTAAAATTGGATCAACCTACTTCATTTCGTTCGGAAGCTAGAGTGATTTTTACAGGTGAACGGACATTACTGAAACGTAATTGAATTTTATTCTGATCAAGAATATATATACTTTGTTGGGTCTAAAATTATTATTTCGATGAGTTACAAAGGGAATGGCGAACTTAATATACCCTCCATACTCTGAAAAAAATCTAGCTAAAATTCTTAAAATACCGAAAATTTGAAGGTACATTGTACCTAAACATGGACCTGTATTGACAATTCTATGTGAAGAAGTTCCTTACATTATGGGCATAAAAACTGACAATTTATCCCGAATTTGGGTTAAAACTGTGACAAAAACAATCAAAACACCTTAAATTTGGCGGTACAGTTATATGGGGGTATTTGGCCCATTTTCTATACCAAAAGACCTGCAGACACAAATTACATTTGAATAAAATTTGATCAACCTACTTCATATCGTTCGGAAGCTAGAGTGGGTTCTACAGACGGGCATGCAGACATCGCTAAATCGTAATAAAATGTTATGCTAATCAAGAGTATATGTACTTTGTGGGGTCTAAAATTAATATTTCGAGGTCTCTCCATACTCTGGAGGAGGGTATAGCAAAACACTATTTATCAGGTTCACTTGAATAAATGCGAACATGTTAGGCTCCCTCCATGTTCCGTTTATAGAGCTACCCTAAGCGCTTTGTCTTTAAACTAGTCTACATCTGAGGAGCTTGTCTTTATAAATAGACCTTGTTCACGGCTCCTCTGAAAACATACTCCCCTTTTTGAGCCCTTTTATTGAAAAAGAATACATTTTTATGTATTTTAAGAAATTTTCTTACAGTTAAATAGCCTATAAAGACAGGCTCTGCTTCAACTCGCCTTTGGGCAGATGCTTTCTTTGGGAAAGGACTTCCTGTACAGCACAGGATATAGGGGGGAATCTATATCCTGTGCTGTACAGGAAGTCGTCGTATGTCGAATATAGAGAAAACTGTATAGATAGATAGACTTTCACCTTTTCCATAAAGCAGGCCTCAATTCACAAATCGTCTATAAAAATATATTCTATTTCTAGCTTATCTAGTAATAGATTCGATTCACGGCACATTCATAAGCATAGACTAGTCTGAATAATCGTCTATAATTAAAGCCTTACTTCACGGCACGTTTATGAAGGCAGACTTCATTTACCGATGGTCTATAGAGGCCAACTCCACGACTGGTGTTTTTGTCTGTCTTTTCGTTTTTTAATATAAACTTCTTTTTTAATGCAACTCCTTCGGAAAACAGTCCATTCGATTGATTATTCAGTCACCTATTCAGGTCTCATATGGAATCTCAAATTTGTTTTCCATTAATTGATTTTTACTTATCGAAAAAAGCATGCTCTCTATTAAAACTTCCTCCAGCATTTCTTCGACCAAATATCTCCTAAGTGCTGCACTATTAGGACTTCCTTCTGTTCCTCCATTGTTTTTTATATTCATCTTATCCAAAACTCTTCCTAATCGGTCCTTAATAGTGTATACAGTCTTCAAACTGATGTCGTAATATCATTATTTTAAAATTCCTATTTAAACGTAGAAATATTCCCTAGGTAGTCTAGAAATAATTCTTATTTCTATGCTATATCAGATACCTCATAGTTCAATCAAAAAAATTTCTTATTATTATCTATTATCTATCTTTACACACTCCCCTCAGTAAGTCTATCTGATAAAATAACATTCATCCATAATAAGTCCATGCGCCAGAGGTTTTTATATGGAATTGCTGTTATTTCATCATAACAATCCGTTTTCTGCTTGGTCATGGCTCGCCATAGCTATTAAGAAATGTCTACGTGCGATCATTCTTGTTATAAATTGATAAAAATTTACATGATAACGGCACACGTTCATAGTTTGCCGCGATTAAAATACTACAGGAAATCAAATGCTGCCTCTTTGCAAAACTGCCGCATCATTCAGCAGAATACTCAAAGCATGAATTGACATTACGTAGAGAATTGCTGTGTGGGAGAAGGTGGTCTCCTGCAAAAATAAGAAATGAAATATTTATTAAAATGTTTTGTGAATGATCTACACAGCTTATCTAGAAAACATATTCTCATTACAGGTTACATTCAGATCGTTTTATTTTTGTTCATCATCATCACTAGGAAACTGGAAATTGAAAGCAACAGAAAGGTTCAACAGAAATGGCGCATTACTTGGTTGTCCACACGTTAAATCTCCGCCTCCAGGCGAAAAAGAAGTGATATTTGAACAATTACATCTTTTCTTATTATTAAATATTGTTTTTCTTTCATTTCATAATCGTTTCCTGCCTTCCACAATTTAATTTCCTGTGGCGATACAACAATTCAATAACGGCTCTCATCAGAATACGTTACGTTCATACGTAATACGTTACGTTCCACACTAATTTCGTTGTGGTTTTATTTGTTTGTTTCTGTTCTCATTCCATTCATTCCTCCATAGGAAATTTGACAACTGCCCAAGAAAAAAACACTGAGTGAGACGGCAAAATTTGACACTGTCAAAAAAGAGAAACAAGCAGAATTCGTACACACACTCTGTGGAAGGCATTCTTTTTGCAAAATCTATTTATTAAAAGAAATAATCTAACAAGAAAAACAAAAACACAATGTCTGCCGACAAAGAGAAAACAGCCAAAGGTGATTTGGGTTTGTTGGAGGAAGATGATGAATTTGAGGAGTTCCCAGCAGAAGGTATGTAGCAAACAACACTCCATTGTACTCATGTTACTCACCGCACTATACACGCTTGCCTCCACAGATTTTAATGCCGTAAACGAAGATGAGGATGAAGTCAACGTTTGGGAAGACAACTGGGACGATGATAATGTCGAAGACGATTTCAGTGTACAACTAAAGGCCCATTTGGAAAAGCAAGCCATGGAAACGTAAAACAGCCTCAATAAATCATCATCTCACAAAATAAAAACAAAAACAGTTTTCATGTTTGTTTTAAGAGTTTAATTATAGTAGATTCTTTTGTAAGTAAAATAACATAAACAAAAAAAGAACAATTCAAATGGCTTCTTTCTATGTGAACTTATTAATGGTATCTATTATCCCCATAGGTGATCAAAATTTCCGTTATATTTTCTTTGAGGTACTCAGATATATCCTTTTGTTCTTCTATTTGACAATCCAATGCATGCTCCTGATTGTCCATTTTGGCAATTTGATCGTTCTTCTGTTTAAGCACGTCTTGCAATGTTTGTAAAGACTCCTTGTGTGATTTTTCCTTTACATCAAATTGTTGTTTCTTGCTAAGATACTGCTGTACAAGAGTTTCATAATTTTGTTGTTCTTCTTCAACGTTTTGGTTCAGGATGGCACGCCTCTCCTGGGCGGCATGCTCCTCGGCCATTGCCTTCTCCAATTGTTTATTAGTTTCCCTTAGCTGATCGATTAAACGCAATGGTACAATATCTGTGGCCTTTTCAATTTCCTTTTTAAGGCGCTGCATTAGCTCCACGCTGTTGGAAAGTTCTCGCAAGGAACTTTCACTGGCATTGGCCATTTCCTTGTGTTTAGCTATGTCGGCCTTAAGATTATCGATTTGCTTCTGCAATTCATGTGACTCCTCATCGGCCACAACTTTTTTAACAAGACTGCGTTTTTGTTCATGTAAATGTTTCAGCTTTTCCGCCAACTCCTCACATGATTCCTTCAACTTTTGCAGTGATTCTTCTTGGCTTGCCTTACGTTTGGACAAATCCCTGTGTTCAGTTCTTAGTTGGGGTAATTGTTTTGTCAGCTCATCCACAGCCATTTTGAGTTCCTTGGTCTCCTGGACCTTTAGCTCATTTTCACGTTGTTGACGTTCTATCATTCCCTTCAGCTCATGGAATTTTTGTATGGGTTCTTGGGCCATCTTGAAGACTTCCTCCTTGTACATGTTATAATAGAAGAGGTAATTTAATAAAATGTACAAGGTGTGCGAAGTCTTTTTGGGAGCTGGAATGAAAATACTATTAGAACAAAGATTATTTTTTCCATTTTGCGGTAGACTCACTTGGCCTTATTAGTTCATAATAGGTAAAGGAATATGATTTGTCGGTAATTTTAAGAAAATGATCGATTTGTCGTACCAGTCGTATGAGAAACAAACGATTTTCTCGATTATTTTCCACTGTATCTCCTTTGTTTAAGGGAAATGGAGGTTCCACCTTATAGCCAAAGCGTCGAATGTAACAAACCAAGGCTCTGATGAGAAACCCCTCGGTGGGCTGCGTCAAATCACTTTGTTTTATTTGACAATCGGCAAATACCTTGTTCCAACCTTCAACATCTTCCTTGGTAAGCATTTTGAATGGGATTTCTTTAATTATTTTATTTATTATTATATAGTTTAAATAAGAATGTTTATTTTGGCGCCGCTTGTCACGACTTATTCAATAGGTAGCACCAAAATGAAAAACGTTCCTGATGAAACACCTACAACCATGTTTACATGTTATAAATCCGTGACTTCCAAGTGATTTGAGATGAAAATAATATTAAAATACTTTTGCTGAAATATTTTATAAAAAATATCAAATATAAGCGTAAAAATAGCCGAGCTCAATTGCAGGGAAGTTTTGACATATTTAGACGCCATTGTACAAGAATAAAGGTAAGATAGAGCTTCCAGCTGATTACATTTTTTAAGTGTGCTCGACTTCTGCCAATTCTGTGTATGTTTTATTCATATTAGATTTAAGAAGGTACTCATGAAATCATATGTTTACAGTTTTTTTGAAAATGTTTCATTTGTCAAAATCTCATTTCAAAAAAAATTATTGTCAAAATGTTTGTTTATAAATCCGTTGTATATTTAAAAATCAGAGATGGGAACCTGCTTACTAGGCAGTGAAGGTAAATTGCAGAAACTACAGAGATGGGAATGCTTATTTGAAGTGACTTTATCTTCTTAATTTTAACACGGTATTATTGATTTGGAAAAAAATATTTTTTTCATAATCAATGATTGGAAAAAACGTACATTGCTCACCCTGCGCACTAAAAATATTAAACAGTTTGGCTATGGAATTGAAAGATTAAAAAAAAGATATTTTTGAAACAACACCGAAGCATTTCGTTCATTTTGCGCGCTATTGAACTCATTTAAAAATGAGAAAAAATATCAAATAATTGAAAACTACTTGTTTTTTTAAGTTATAATTTTGAATAATTTTGACAGGAAACGGGTATATTGTCAGGCCTGTATTTCCGTAGTTTTATGAAGGTCTTCTACTGCTTTATTGTACCATGGGTATCAGCTGGTTGACCCACGATTGCGCTGAATTGAATCCTTAAAAATTACAATCAGCTGATTTTTGCTGCTTGAAAAACAACTAAAAAAGTTCCAAAACAAAGCGTCATTTCATTTTAATTTTTTAACGTTTACACTAAACACACAATTCGAATGGTTAAAGCATGTTTAATTTTTTTAATTGAAACTTACCTGTGTACGTTTACACTAAACCTTTTTTAGTGTAAAACATATGCTCTGTTCCGAAGCTGCACTAATGTTAAAGTTTTTACTACGATTGCCGATTTTCCTTTATAATATCGAAAAAATTGCAAAACTATTAGATTTTTGTAGTTTCTGGAACAGAGCAATAATTTCGATATTCCTTTTTTAGTAAAAATGCCAAATTTAGCGGATTTAAATTGTCATCTCCATTGCGTGTATGTTAAGTTTGAATTTAGTGTATTTCATTTGACGTATACGCAATTCTAAACAAGAGAATGCAAAACAAATACTCTTTTTTTAAACATAGTTTCATTTATTATTTATTGTTTATCGATTTTCATATAACTTTTTAAACATTTACCTTTGGTTCTATTACTACGCTTTTATATTGCATTTATATTTTGTGAAGGATTGGCTGGCTATCGCAATGTTGTGGTTTTTAGGAAGAAAGTAACAAAAAAATGTTAAGTTATTTTGATTACTGTTTTTGTTCTATTTTTATTAAAAATTGAGCTATAAAGCTGAATACAGTTAGATATTTCCTTGTGTTTGTTTGGATTTCTATTTTGTCTCTTAATAAAAGGTGATGTTTAATGAAATGCTTGAAAATCAAAAAGTAACCTTTTTTAAACTCACGATGGTGAAAATTCTTTGAAGAAAATGTATTTCTTATGAATTCATTCAATGTACAATAAAATCAAGGTAACTTCATTTCATATAACAAAATCCATCTCTGTATTCTACTGTAATTTACCTAGTCAAATTTAACTTCATTTAAAAGAGGTTCCCATCTCTGTCTTGTGTATATACCATGGTAGAAGAATATAGGTAGTCGCATCGACACAGCAGATGGGACAATGAACTGTCAAACCATTTTTGGAATTATAATTTTTGAATGAAAAATTAGTGAAATTTGTAAAAGTTGTTGAAAATGCATATCACAACAACCTTCGATTGGCGTCGTATAAGAAAACATATAATAGTTAACTCATTTTAGAAAAAAAAAATTAAATTTAAAAAATGTTGACATACCAATGTTCCCAAGCGTTGATGCATCTACTTGTATTCTTCTACCATGGTATATACAAAGCATTTATAAACAAACATTTTGACAATAAGGAGTTGTCAAATGTATAATTTTGGGAAAATGGAAAACATATGATTGCTTGACATTACCTTCTTAGTTTTACGATAAGTTCACGTTTTCTTTCCTGAAATTTCTATGTTTCCAACTATAACAAAAAAGAATGTTGACGTAAGTGGTTTGGGAGTCAAGAACATTTTTGAACATTTTTTGAGAACATTGTTTTCACCATGGTAGAATTAAGAAGGTTAAGTCATGCAATCATATGTTTAAAATTGTTTTCAAAATTATTAATTTGACAACACCTTATTGTCAACATTTATATTTACAAATCCATTGTATACACACAAATCAGAGATGGGAACCTGTATTCAAAACAGTGAAATATGACAGGGTAAGTTACAGAAAATGCAGAGATGGGTATGCTAATTTAAAAATGACTTTACCTTCATAATTTTACCATGGTTTTCATTTATTTCTCACACATTTAAATTTCATTTCGTTTAATTAAAAATCACCTATTATTAAGAGAACTTAGTGTATAGTAGTAGTTTTGAATTTGTGGCATTGACGCGGAGTAATTTTTGTGGAACTATGTTTTTTGTTTTCTTATTGTTTATATATGTTTGTATGTATATATATTAAGTGCTTTCATTTAAGTAGTGTTTTAGAGACAATTTATCTCTTGTCTTCTTTTTTCTCAAAAAAAAAACCAAATATATTTTTCTTCAACAATTTTGTTGTTTTTACACGGTATAATTTTGAATATAAAAATACAATTTTCCAAAAGTTTGCAGTTTTGTTTGTTGTTGTTGTCGTCGTCGTTTTGGTATTTTACTTTTTAAGGTTATAAAATGTTTAAGAAAATAAGGTAATCTGGTATTTTGTTACGTTTGTTTAATATTTATCGATTAGTTAGTTTGTCTGGCCTAAAAACGAAGAGAAAAACAATAATATTACAACATTTGATTGAATTTATATGTACAGGGGTTTCTAATAGTTTTCGATATTTTATGTTTTCGTTTTTTGTCATTACTCCAAAAAGATTAACATAATTTGACCCAAAATATATATTTTGTCATTTGAAAACCAACTCAATTAGAATAGATTTTAAATTATGGGTCCTTAAACAACTTTTTTCAAACCCAACATTTATTTCATTTCAAAATTTGTCTGGGATTTAGACAAAATTAGAAAAATGTCTTACTTTGAGGAGTTTGTTTTCATTTTGTTGTTTGTTTTTTTCGTATATATGTACGTGCTATTTTAATTTTTGTTTTTTCTTTAAATTTTAAACATTTAAACATTCATTTTATTAATAAAAGAAAAAAGTGTTTCGTATTAATATGATATTGTACGCATAATAATAAATATAATCGATTTTGTTGTTTGTTTGTTATTTGTTTATTTTCAAGAAAGTTTATTTTATTTGATTATTATTTATTAATAAATGTGCTTGAATTATTTTTATTTTCAATACATCACAGACGGTCTTTAACAAAATTCATTTTAAATGTTTTTATTATCAATCAAATGGTTAACAAACACTATGTCCTTTTTATGTTTTTTTCTCATTGCCTTTCTTTAATTTTTGTTTTGTTTTTAAAGGGACAGAAACTAATACTTGTTCCTTTTTTACATTCATGTCAATTAAATGTGTTAACAAAAGTTTAGTTATTTTAAAAAGTTTTGAGCGTTTCCTTTTTTTGTTTTGTTTGTTTTCGATTATTATAGTTTGTGCTTGAAGTTTTGTATTTGTATAAATAAATATTAGTTTTTATACATACTCGTTATATATGTGTATTAATAATTAGAAGAGAGGTCATATTGTTTTCAAAGTCAAATTAATCAAAAATTAAGTTGAATAATTATAGCTTAAATACTAATAACATTAAAAACTATATAAATATTTATGTGTATATATATTTTACTTATAGTTTTTAAATATTTAAAAAAGTTTGATTTTTCCTGTTGCATTATAATATAAATATTTACTTTAATTTATAAAATAAGAAATACTAAAAATTTATAAATTAAAAAAAACATATCACAAAAGTATAGGAAGTGTATTACAGAAACAAAACATATATGCGCGGGTGTATATACATACGTGTGTACTAAATATTTAGTTGATATAATTAAAATAAAATATTATTACGTTGGAAAGATTGCTTGTGGTGCAATACAAAGCTTAAGAAGAGAAATGTCACAGAATTGATGCTTGAAATGAAAAATATACCGTATTTATATAATTTATGTAAGAAATGGCAACTCTGCTTTATCTTTGTATTCTTTTGACAAAAGCATTCTTGAAGTTAATTACGCGCGAATTCGTTTCTGTGCGAATACAGACAAATAGTTAATTTTTTTTATCTTCAATATTATAAGGTTATGGGCTCAGTCTTCCCGCAGTGGCAATATTATTTGAAAATATAAACGGGAGCATTTATAATTTAGGAGTCAAGGGGTGTTCTTGACATTAAAAAATGGTAGTGGCAATGCAAAGTCACACCATAAAGTGCTTCCATGGGCAACTTATTGCAGGAAACGGCTATCCAATGGGATAGACCAGTTTATTAAATGAGCAGATTCACAAATATGTTAGGAGACACGCAGGTACCCAAATATTGTTTATATGGCTGGAATTGCCACAGACAGTCAGAATTTACGAATATCATGGAAAAGAGGTTCAGCAAACTTTATACAGGCCAGAAGTTCGTACGCCAAGGTGACTAACAGCAAGTACAAAATCAGCAAAGTTTGGCCGCCCTGAATTTTTATATCCTCCACCATTCGGAAGAAGCATGAAAATTTTCCAAACAAGTAAAAAAGTCGGTCGGTTTTGCCGACAGCTGTATACCCTCAGCCAATGTTCGATTATTTAAAAATATTTTGACTTTTGTTATGATTATTCAAATGTTTAACCCCTTATGCTGTAGGTTCCGAAGGAATGGGCCAATATTGGCCATTTCGTGTTGGTCCTAAATAAATATGTTATAAATATTGCGACGTGCTAGGTTTGGACTGTGTTGTGTTGATGGAAATATTGGGATTTACCATTTCTTGAAAGGAATCGGATGTCAATTTCGCTTTTTATGAGCTTCATGGCTATTCAAAATTTTGAGCCTTTGTGGGAGAGGTACCAGAAGGAGTGGACCGATATATCCCATCTTCACAACGGATCTTTTGTTAATGGAAATAATGGAGTGTGTGAAATATAAAGAGAACTGATGCTTATTTCGGATTTTATAAACGTTTTGGTTATTCAAAACTTTGAACCTTTGTGGGGGAGGTACTCGATGGAGTGGACCGATATTTTCCATTTTCGCACCTGACTTAGCACTAAAGCAATTATTAATACTTGCAAAGTTGGAGCAAAATCGGGTTGTCGTTTCTCATTCTGTGCAGAAAATATTTTTTTTGAAAATTTTGACCTTTTGTGGGGGTGGTACCAGAAGGAATGGATGGATATTGCCCATCTCCGAACTCGATCTAAGTTTGACAAATGGGATACTTCCTTCGAGTTATCGTGGGTACCAGACGGACATCGCTAGATCGACTCCAAATATCCTGAAACGGATTTGAACCAAAGAGACCTAGGGTCTAAAACCGTATGTGGATTAAGCACGTTTTGGCCGTCTCAAATGATATACACCTTCTCTAGCCATATGGCTGAGGGTATAAAGAGATGGTACCACATAAGTTATGTTATGATTGCGGGGATATGTTTGATTTTTTTTTTATAAATATTTCCAAATTTTGCGAAAAATACATTTTGAAGCGCCCATATAAGATCCGACATTAAGACCATTTTTGACTATATGACACTAAACTTAATATATATTCATTGTTATGATTTGACTCCTTTGAATTACGCAACCATATATAGAACTTGCGTGATGCCTACTTTTCTCCCTCGGAATTACTTTCTGAAAGGAATTTTTTGCTTTGCTATGTCAATTGATTTGAATTCCTTTTGATCTTGCTTGAAATGGGAGTGTAAAGTTTTCTCTACAGCTTATATTGCACCACAAAAAAATTTTTTTTTTTTATAAAATGTAATTATTGAAAAACATAAATTATTAACACAAAACATGAAATGTAAAAACAAAACAGTGAGCACCATTAAATAAACACAGAGCCATAGGGTAAGGCAAATAAAAAACTACCTTATTAAAATACATATATACAAACATTGAAGTTCATAAAGAAAAAGCAATTTTTTTTGGAGATATATCTTACAAAACAAGACGCTTGGCGCTACTTTCTAAAGAAAATAGATTTTGTTACAAGACAAGGTAATAATGGTTTATAACTTAATACTACATGTACTTGTGGAGGATACAAAATTACTGGGTTATTTTCAAAAGTTATCGGACAAATTTCTTTTCTTACTTGTAGCTTGGCTTTTTCAATGTTTTTTATACCCTACACCACATTGTGGTAAAAGGTATTATTTTATATTGGAATCATTTAACAAATGTCTATGGGTTCTAAAAAATAATTGTTTTAATTTCTCTCTCTATCCTTTTTAAGGATCAAAATTGTATTGTATGGTTGGGAATTTTAAAAAAGTGGCAAAAAAGAGATGCAATTATTTCTGTAAACCCTGTCTACTGAAGCAAAAGGAATTCTAGAGAAAACAAAAAGTTTTTATCTACACTTACAATAAAAACAAGAGGAACAAACGCCTGACAGACACCATCCACCCACCGTGATTAACAGTACCAACAAGAACAAAACTTAGCACAATCTTACCACTGACACAGCCCGCTGTCACAGCAGTAATTGTTACACTGAACTCATTCACGTCGTGTACGTTTGGGACGCGATACGGCAATTGAATCGTTTGCCGCCGCAGATGTATCACCCGAAGATGCAGAACCCGCTGCTCCGACATTTGCCGATGAATATGTTGAATTTGTTGTATGATTACCGAGTTTATCAACACCACGAACCTTACGGCTGGCAACTGATTGTGCTGTCACTTGTAACGAGATTGCATGGGTATTCAATTTTTCGGCCAGCAGTAGATCTTTGAGTCCTTTCATTTTCTGACTATATAAGGTGATGACGGGTGTTTTGAACATATGTTTCAATGGATCATCATCATCTAAAGGTGGTTCCGGCATTGCCACCGATAAGTTACTCGTTATCGTATGGTTTATTGATTGTCCCAATGTATTGCTGCCAATTGCAGGTGTAACATCATATTTGTGTTCATCTTTGCCATTTAAGCTGCTATTGTCGTCGTTAGATTCTTTATTGCGTTTTTGTTTTAGTTGTTGGTCAGCGGCGAAAAGGAAGCCCGTACGCCGATTTGTATTATTCTGACGGTCTTGAGATGAACCGGAAATCGCTGAATCCTCGGGCGGTGATAAATTGTAGCCCTAGAAGAAATAAAAAAAATAGTATCAAATTAATTCGAAATTGTAAATTGCGTTTAAGGAAGGAATTAAAAAACGATCGCGTATCATGCCAAAAGTCATTGTCATCGGAAGCCTTTATGGCAATATAAAATCGAATATAAATGAACAGGGTGAGATAAAAAAAAAACTGCAACTAACTTCAGACTGCTGTCATTTCTAAGCCTCTCGTCCGACAGCTGTTAAAATTATTCCAGTGACAGCTCATTATATTGTTTACAGGCGAAAAAGGCTATTCGTAATGGAATTTAAGCGTGATAGTGTGATTTCTTTATATTTGGATGGAAAACCACAAGTGGCTATCTGTCAAGTGTCGATCACCTCAAGCTAGCACTTCGCCAGAATGGGCTAAAATACCGCAGAGCAACATCCGGGCAGCGTGTGACGGTTTCATTGGCTGTTTGAATCCCATAATTCGTACCAAAGATGACCAATTCGAAAAAATCTAAATTTATTCTAAAATTTGGTTCTATTTCCGATATTTTTGGCGTTTGACTTTGTTACTTATTTTATCTCACCCATATAAGCTTAATCTAAACCTTCTAAACTTGAATTTTCAAATTTCGAAACCTCTATTATTCACACAGAATTTTTTAAGGGATTCTTATCTATAAATTTGATATCAAACAAGTTCCGATCGAAATTTTTGGATATCGAATGCGAGAATTTGGCGCCCGTCTTTTACTTTAGAAAAGTTAAAAGTTAAATTTTTCAATCATACCTGTCGTAATCCCTGCAGTAGCAAGTCTGGATTTAGAATCTTTTCACCGCAAGCAGCTGTCAAATCGGCCAATAATGTTGTTGGCATTTCAGATTTGTTGCCATCATTTGTTTTCTAATAAACAATTGAATTAACGATTATCTTTTTCATTTATTAATACATTTTCTATTTACCTCTTCCTTTTTCAGTGAATTATTGTTTCCTTCCGCTGTTGTTGTCGATTCACCCATTGTTTTAGCCTCTTTTAAAGTCTCATCACTTCCCACATCCATGGACGTCGTCGCCGATGTAGCACCTCTGTGAACCGCCTGCGGTTCATCTTCGGGTACCTTAATTATAACTTGCGACCTAACATCATAGTCAAATTTACAAATATTATTGACCAATGGTTTGGCCCAACCAATATGAAGAATTGGCGTCAAACTATCCTCTTCCCATTGGCAAATGCCATCATAAAATCTCAAGAGATTTGCAAAAACCTCCGAATCTCTTAGGATACTGCGTGCTGAATGACCAGAACTTTCGGTTTTCATAACATAGGGTATCATTTCATTGGCAATATCCAATAGTTCTTTGTAGATTTCTTCATCATCACGACATTGATAGGTGTACAGGCGTATAACATCGGCAGCATTGGCCCAGGCGGCAAAGGCTTCACGATATTTATTCAGGCGGTTATAGTAGTTGCCCTGGTACGTGTACGGATAGACATGATGATTTTGATAATGGGCCCGGGCAGATTCTATGGCTTCGCGGTATAGTTGGTCACAGGACACACGTTTAGGTGTTGGATTGATTTCCTCCAATTCACCAAGGGTACCTGAAATAAAGAAAAAGAATTTTCAGTGATTGAATTCCTTCTCTTTTATTTATTTCTTATTCCTTACCAATTGCCATGGGATATTTCCTTAGATGACCCATATCGTACAACATCCACAGTAAACGTTGCTGCATTTCGGCTACCTCCACACAATCGCTATTGCTTGACAGGGAAATGTTGATGGCCGAGGCAATGGCTGCCACCTCCATTGGTTTATCACACACAACAGGATAACCACCCAAATATAGCCATGACCCTGACTCAATACCCGCCTGTATATCTTGACCTCGCTTATCCTCACTACCCTTGCCATGCCATGTCACCTCAATTGTTTCCAGTTTCTTATTGCCAAAAACCACCCAGGCATGATCCTCGGATATGGCCAAACGTACATCACGATATCCAAGCAATTGACATCCAGCCACCACAGCCAACGCTACACCAAAACAATCCAACTTATTACCCGATAGATATGTATAGAGATTTTGTAGGTGGGCACGATCTTTGTAGCTGCTGCGTATCAACGAATGCCATATGACATCGGATACCTTTTTTATAACCTCTCTGGTTGCTTGTCGACTGTTGCATGTTGATGACACCTTCGGTTTATCCACTATGGATAATATACTTTGGAATTTCTTATAGAGACCAGAAACAAGTTCATAAGTCACCACCGGGAAAGGAACGGAATTGCTTTTGATGATGTCGTGTGTGTTGGCTGAAATAAAGGAGGATTAAAATCGGAGTTAATAACAAGTTAAAAAGAAGTAAGTAATACCCTGCACCATTTGGAACGAATTTGGAAATGTCCGTTAAAAAAAAACGGTGCATAATGTAGCTAAAATCATAAAAATACTGTATATGGGGAGGTACCGTTATATCGGAACTATACGAAGACCTGGACATGCATAGACAATTTTCTGCCACAGGCTGTAGTATCCATTACGAACTTTAATTACAATTTCGGTGAGTATTGTACCTAAAATCGTCAAAATACCGCATATAGGGAGGTACTGATACATGGGGCATATACGAAGACCTGGACCTGCATAGACAATTTTCTCTCACAGACTGTAGTTCCCATTACGAACTCTAAATACGTAATTTGAAACTACTCCGGTGAATAATGACGCTAAAATTCTTAAAATAACGCATATCGGGAGGTACCGTTATATGAGGGCTATACGAAAACGTGGACCTGCATATAAAATGTTTCTGTCTTAGGCTGTAGTATCCATTACGAACTAGAAAAACCAAATTTGAAACAATTCCGGTGAATAAATTCGCTGAAATCATCAAAGTGCCGAATATCGGGAGGTATCGTTATATGGAGGCTATACGAAGACGTGGACCTGCACAGACTATTTTCTGTCTTAGGCTGTAGTATGCATTACAAACTTCAAATACCTAATTTGAAACAATTCCGGTGAATAATGTCGCTAAAATCAACAAAGTACAGAATATGGTCAGGTCCCGTTATATGGGGGCTATACGAAGACGTGGACCTGCACAGACAATTTTCTGTCTTAGGCTGTAGTATTCATTTCAAACTTTAAATACCAAAGTTGAAACAATTCTGGTGAATAATGTCGCTTAAATCATCAAAATATCGAATATCGGGAGGTGCCGTTAAATGGGGGCTATACCAAAACGTTGACCTACATGGCCCATTTTCAATACCAAGATGTCCTGCAGACATAGTATACATTTGAGTAAAATTTTATCACTCTACTTCATTTCGTTGGGAAGCTAGAGTGATTTCCACAGACGGACGGACATCGCTAAATCGACATAGAATTTTATGCTGATCAAGAATATATATATTTTGTGGGGTCTCAAAATGAGTATTTCGAGGTGTTACAAACGGAATGACAAACTTAATTTACCCTCCATACTATGGTGGAGGGTATAAAAATTGAACCATCTTGATATCTTTAATGGATAAAGTAGTTGCCTTAAGTATAGCATACTTTTAGGCGGAAATGTTTTTATTAATATATTTATACAAATTTTGAACAAATGTTTCCATACAGAACTAAGCCGAACAAGAAGTAAATTGAGATTAAATTATAAATTCACCAAGTCAAAAATTCTACTTAATACTTATTGACAAACTTTTGCACGTTGCAAGTAAAAATGTGCTACTATGTACGTACATGCATATATGCACATTAAGTATATCGAAATTATGTACGACTTATATATTTTTATGAAAGTAAATATTTTTCCAAGTCTATCCTGCCAATAAGCACAATTTTGCAAAATAAAATTCATACACACCTGTCGACGTGTTGCCCACAATGCCGGCTAACGTTGATGCACCCGAGGCTGATGACGAGGTTGTCGTTGAATTGATGGTTGCCTGTGCGGCCTGAGCTGCATCTCCAGTTGTCAACGACAACTCAATGTAGCCAGCAACAATTGACAGCAAAGTCAAATCAGGTTCCACACAATGACTGTGGTACAGTTCTAAGGATCTTTTGAAAAAGTTGACAACATCATTTATTGACTTCAATGGAAAAAGACTGGGGTCCAGCGGTGAAGTTAATGAAATGGAAGGACTATTGCTGCTTCGAGTAACTGTTGCCATAATTGTTGGATATCTCACAAAACTAGGTATTAAACTATCCGGGAAAAATGTATATTACAGCTGCTGCCGAATTAAATATCGGGTGACAATTTTTCTTTTTGTTGCTTCTGTTTGTTGGTATTTGGTGTGAAATGAATGCAACTGCTGTTCGATGCTACTACTTTTATTGTTTCTTCTTTTCCTTCTACCAACAGCAGTGGTGGCGGCAGCAGCAGCAGTAGTCGTCAGCCGTAGTGTGGCAGGCTGCAATTGTTGTTCTTGTAGAAGGGCTTTCGTCCCTGTTCTGAGTTTGACGATGAGACGCCACAAGTTGACAAACCACTTTTTTGTACTGCCTTCTTTGTTTACCTTGTTCGCCAAAATACAACAAGGTACGTTCTATATAAGAAGAATGTAATGTGCAACAACTAACTACTTCTTCACTTTCTTTCCACCTCCTCCTTCGGCTTCTTGTCATTTATTTTTTTGGGAGCTGCTGTACCCACAAAAATTTACATTTTCAATCAATTTTTGCAATGAAATGGGTATTACAGCAGGTATTACGTTTTTGAATCAAATATTTTTTTGCCGATGTCTCATGTGTTGTTATTGTTGTATTTTATCCCTTTATCAGATCACGTTACGCTTGTGTTGTTGTTTAATTTATTTTTTTTGTTATTTAACTTTTTCTACGTGGTTTTTAGCATGTTGATTGCAAAATGATTCACACGCACAATATGTAAACATACACAAACACACACACACATGTACAGAGACAGATGAGAAAAAATTCCTCTACGACATCATCGTGGCCATCCGCCAACTAGACCTTTCATGCCCTTTCTGACAGAGTCAAATACCAATCGCCAAAACAACTCCCACTCCTTTCAGCAACTTTTTTTACGCAGTATTTTAGTGTTGTTGTTTTGTTTTCTTTTAAAATGTCATTAGTTGGCACATTCAGATTTTTTCTCACCCACTTTCTCTTATTTACAACAATACCAACATTATTTTTGCGTATTTATCGTTTAATGTATTTCTACTTTTAATTTTTTCTTCCAACTAGTTTCTGTTTCTCTTCTAAAGTCGTTTCCATTCAGAAAACTCAATTGTTTTTTAATTTTCATAAAAAATTAATCTCTGGAAACTTGATGTTTTTATTTTATGTTGTTGGTTGGTTGGATTCAATTTCACCACTTATTTTTATTTTATTACGTCTTCATTTTATTTGCCAGCCATCTTGGACCGATCAAATTCAAAAACGTTCCATACGATATGAACACGAAACACAAAATAGACTGAACGATGAAAAGTGCGCACAAAACAAACTAACAGTTTGTTTACGAATGTGTGCGATGCATAATGAACAGGCCACATTGCTTTGTTTACGAAAGAGATAAGGGAAAATCAATCAGCTGTTGGGAATAGGGGTAGATAGGTAAGTTAATGACAATTTGTTGTGAACTTGGATAGCTCACGAAACAAGAACCATTAAAAAAGTTGTGCTAGCAAAACAAAAGACTATAATTGCGATTAATAAAAATTGGTCTTGCGGGTACTGGAGCAGATTAAATGTTATTCACCGTCCATACGTTTAACTGGAAATTGCGTGAATTTTAACAATACAGATGAAAACAGCCTGAACCATCATATGACCTAAAATAACAGCCTGTTCCACGATCTCGAAAGAAAATTTGTGCGAACGAAGGCAACTCACTCACTTTCGCATAAGAATGCGTTCCACTAACTTTCGTTCTTTCTTTCGCATAGCCTTACGTGATTCAGTGTTGCAAAATATTTTTTGGCAAAATTAATCGCGAAATAAGGCAAAAAAAGCGCCAAATGTCTAATTTAAACGCGAAAAAGCAGCAGTGGCTCTGTCTCAACTGACAGTTCAGTTGTAAACAAACAAATTGTAAATAAACAAACAAAATAAAATTTCTAGTGATTGTGTTTAGATTATTTGTGTTCTTAAAAAAGAAAAAAAAATGAATATTTCTGTAGCCCTATTTTTTATGGATGATGAGGAGGAGGTTCAAATTGTGCCACGGAGGCATTTAAGAGATGCTTCGAATTTATTTGAAGTACCTAACAACCAGTAAGTATGATTGTATTTTTACATTTTTGAAATAATAAAAAAATGATTTTTTCTAGGTTTGTGTCTTCCAGTGGTCTTCATGGGATTGCCTGCTGCTTCCAAAAATTGGCACTCCTCTGGCGAACTTAGGATTCTCCCCCATATACTCAACTAGTGCCCGCAGCTGTGTAGTTTTTTCGTGCTGGAATTGAGAATATAAAAAAATATATATTTGTTGTTCACAGATTAAATTGCATTTATTATTTTTACTTACATTTTTCTTTCCATTTTCAATCAAGGAATGTTTATGTTAAAACAATTTTCCTTAATTTTTATCATTCGACAGCAAACACACAAGTGACTGATTTTGACATTTGTGTTCGCATGCGTACGAAAGAAAAAAGATAGTGGAACGCAAAATTACACTGAAACGCTTACGTTTTCGTTCGCTTTGATTTTCGTGCAAATTTTCGTTCTGATGGATTTTAGTGGAACGGAAATCAGCTGTTTGTCGTGTAAAAGTTGTGCGAACGTGTTCTTTCGACATCGTGGAACAGGCTGTAAAAGATTTCTATGCAAATAATTTACGGCAAACTGTGAATAAGAAAAATACAACTTTATAATAAGGCCTTTCTCCTCTTATTACGAAAGTATAGAGCATTCAATAACATGAATGAATGAATGAGCTTAAGGAGCAAATCAGACAAACGTTTTTCGCTGTTTTGAAAAATCAATTGGGAATAGTAACGGATGGCGCCCAACGTGGTACAATAAAAATATTTTATGACATATTAATTATTTTTTTTTTCATATTGACAGCGGGAAAGCCAATGAAAGTAAAAAACTAGTCATAGTCACATGAAATACATTAAAATATATGAAAGCAGTGATTCTATTGGGACTAATATCGGATAAATCCCACAACAAAAAAGGTGAAGGTACATAAGCAGCTTGACATCAAAGCTATACATATTAATGTCAAATTATAAGGGGAAACGACGGCAAGAACCTACACCGCAACAGAAAGAAAATAGGCTCAAAAGAGCTAAAGAGTTGCTTTGCTTGGCCGAAAGTGGTGAACTGCCGAATTTGGTTTTCTCCGATAAGAAAACATTCGTCGTCCAGCAGTTTGTAAGTAAACAAAATGATCGTGAAGTCTGGCTACCAGAACTCACGCGCCGGTCATGGTGATGGTGTGGGCCGCCATAACAGCCGATGGTCGTTCTCCGCTCGTATTAATCGACCGTGGCATCAGAAAAAATGCCGAATATTATCGCGAAACTATTGTGGAGGGTGTATTAAAGCCTTGGGCCGCATTTTGGCCGCAGACCTTGGACATTCCAACAGGACTCAGCACCATCGCACTCAGCACGCGCCACCCACGTTTGAAGGATATAATTCGTGCCAAAGGTGACCAATTCGAACAAATCTAAACTTATTCTAAAATCTTTTGTTATTTCCGACATTTTTTGACTTCATTCAAAAAAATTTAAAAAAAAATGTAAAAATTATGATGCTGGCTTTGTTGCAGTTTTTTTTATCTCACTTCGCTTCTTCGTAGGGGAACAAAGGAGTTTTAGCTTGACTTAGTTCGATTTTGACTCTACGCTCATTTGTTCTTTTCCGAAGATAGCTTAAGCCATTCAAAAAGCGTTTAATGTATTCTCACCTTTAAATGTTCAATTCCATGTCAAAAGTGGTTAATGACTTTAATGCACCCCCGCAATGAATGTTTATTCCAATCATTGATTTTGACAATATTTTCTTTTTATTGTCTAAAACCATAAATACTTACATAAAATTGGCAAAAGTCGGACATAATCAGGAAAAAAATCAAACTTACTAAGATTGTTAAAAAACAGTATTCTTTAACAACATATTTTAAAATTAATTTATTTCTGCAGATTTTTTAAAATATTTCATTTATTTATTTATTTTTGACATATCAATGTTCACAAGGGCTGAGGCATCTACCTTTATTCCTCTACCATGGCGTTGACAACACTGTTTTTCAATGGGGACTGAAACATAGCGTTTAACGCCGTTTGTGGCATAGCCCCGCGTCACATTGCTAACGGCGGCAACTTAAACAGTTCACCGCCAAAGTTGTCCCCAAACAACAGAAGAAGAAGCAACACAATCGAACGTTGTGTGTTCTGTGTTCCAACAAAACAGAGATTTCAACTGGAATACAGATAAAATTGTAAATAAAAATAATGTAAACATTTAAAAAATACACCGTTTTTTGATTTTTATTGTGTTAAAAAAAAGAAATATGTTGTTGGTAACTTCGATTCTGCAACAATGAAACTAATGTGTGAAAATGTCAAAAGATCTTATAAGACAAGAATTTAATGAGTTTTTTTGTTTTCTTGTGGCCAATAAAATGTGCATTAATCTAACAAGAAAATAAATATAAAAATAAACAAAAACAAATTTTAGTGGGAAAATTTAAAATCTACTTTATTTTTTTTTTTGTGCCCCCTCCCAAACAAATCAATGAATGTGGCATTAAAAAGCAACGATTGTTACGTGTGGCTGGTCGTTGGCGTTCGGGTTGCGCGGTCGGATATTTTTTGTGTGGATATCTTTTCTTTATGGCCGATTAGTTGATTTACTTTTCATAAGAGTGAGTGTGTGTGTGTGTGGTGCTTGTTGTAAACGGCGAGAATGTGAATAGAAAAGAAAATAAGACGAATAAAAGCTACAACAGCAAAGCGGCAGCAGCCAGCAGCAACAACAACCTAACTAATACGAGTACATCGATTGATTGTGTGCGGAGTAGGAGTGGTGCCTGCTTTTCGCTTTTATTTTTTTTGTTTGTTATTCGGTTTTACTTTACACTGTTTGCTGATGATTATGAAAGTGTATGAGTGCATTCTAATTGGAAACGAGAAATAAAGTGGAATAGGAGAACAAAAAATTTTTTTGAAGCTGATCATTAAAATCCGAAGTACATAATTTTTTTTTTCTTCGTTGGATAACGCTAAGGAGAAAAAGTGCAAGTATGTATTAAAAATCATTAAATATTGTTAGTGAAATAAGTGTTTATCGTATTAATTAAGTTTTGTAATGCCAGTCTGTCATTTGAAATCTGCTGAACAATTTTGTAACATATGTTTGTAAAAAGTGCGCGTAAATTTGTCTCGGTACATTTGGGGCATGCGTTGCTTTGATTTTACAATCGTCTATTGATGGAAAATGTTAATTTGAAGTGTATTGTTTTAAATTTGAAGATATTTCTGTAAATTCCTGTGGAAAATTAGAGGCGTATGGGAATAAAGAATAGCAATTCATTGATTGATATCATTTGTTTGAAGTTAATGTCAAATTTCACGAAATGGCATATCGCAGAGTTGCCAGATTTTTAATGAAATTTATTGCAAAAGGCGGGATTTTTTTTATAATGTGACGGAATTTTTCTTATAACAAATTTATAAACGAGTTGAATAAGTAGAAGCATAGTAAAGATTACAGCAAATGTCGTAGAATTAGCAGATTAAGTCGGAAAATAACAATATTGGAAAAAATTCTACTTAAGTAGAATGTGTTTGATTTTTCACGCGTAGGTATTTTTACCCCTGTCGTGGACGGGACACGAAATGGCTGAACTCTAGTTCAGTAAAAACTCTTCAATTATTTTTCCAGTAGTAGGTATGGGACGTGTCCCGGGTTGAACTCTAGTTCACTCCAGTGATAGGTTATTTTACCCATGGAACAATGAAGAGAAGGTAGGTCAACTTTGAAAAAATTGCAAGTATAGAGGTCTACCTGTTTGGCTTGTAATGTCAGAATTACTATCAAAACAATAAAAAAGCAAACAACTTGTTGCATTGATTTTGAATAAATAATTAAAAACCGCGAAAACTGAATGAATGGTCAAAATTTCTTTTCAATATCATGTTCTATATATCTCTTATGGTTTATTTCGCGACAAAAACTGTACATTTTGATGTGCGTGAAAATAAATTTAAATTTAAATTCTACTACTTTGATTTTTCGCTTACCAACACTGGTTTTCTCTCAGAGATAAATTTAAATTTAACTACATTTTCGTGAGAGTAAATTTAAATTTAACTCAAAAGTGCTTGTTGTGAAAGAAAATAAAAGTTAAAATTATGAAAATAATATAACAATAAAATGTTATATGAATTGTATTAAAAATTAATAATTATAAGAACTTTGGCCAGAACAAGAACAGTGGCCAGACTTATATTTCCTATGGTCACTGTAGGATAAATGGGTTTGGACCCACTGTGGGAAAATGGTTAGGGATGCACCTTTATGTTGTTCATTTTCGGAAAGAGCATCGAAAATGCTCCTAGACCAATGATTCTCATAATCCAAACCTATCTGGAATTCCCACAGTGGCCAGATTTATATTTCATATGGTCACTGTAGGAGAAATGGGTTTGGACCCACTGTGGGAAAATGGTTAGGGATGCGCCTTTATGGTGTCCATTTTCGGAAAGAGCATCGAAAATGCTCCTAGACCACTTATTCTCATAATCCAAACCCATCTGGAATTCCCACAGTGGCCAGATTTATATTTCATATGGTCACTGTAGGAGAATTTTAATATTTTCTGAATAATTTTTAATTATTGAAAAGAAGACACACACATAAGCAAATGAAGTTGACATATTAAGCTAGAAAAATAAAAAAATTTAAATCATATGGTAGCTCTGCCCTACCTTGAATTCATTATACCATGATTTTACCCTTATCCCGGGAAACTATTTTTTTCTTGGGGGGACGGACCTGGGACCCGGCGGAGCGTAGCTTATGAAAATATCTAACAAACAAGTAGTCACATGATTGGGTTATTTATTAGCGGATCGGAAGTTATACTCCAATTATCGATTTTTTGGACCCTAATTTTTAAAATATACCCAAAAAGGTCTCATTATGGGGTTGAACAAAATATTTGCAGAATTATAGCTATAATTTGTGCTAATACCTTCCCTGGGACCAGAGTTATGGGTCTTTCCATTTCATTAAAATTATGTTTTCAATAAAAAAAAGCTTTGTTTCGCGTAGCTTGCTCTGGACTTATAAAAGTATCAAATTTAGAAAAAAATAGGTTCGCGTTAGCCGGCAGAAGGCCTGCTTTTTAAAAGAAGTATCAAATTTAGAAAACTTTAGCCGGTGTGGCAAATACCCAGAGGAGAAAAGCTTAAGCCCCGGCCGAAGACCGTCTATTTACAAAAGGTGTCAAATTTTGAAAACATTGGTTCGCGTTTGTCGATGTGGAGCGTACCCAGAGGAGGAAATCCAAAACCCCGGCCGAAGACCGGCTACTTACAAGAAGTATCAAATTAAGAAAACTTTAACATTTTGGAAAGGTAAGAGGGTCAGTTATAATTTGACATGGATTTTGTTGAACCATAATGGGCCCTTTTTCCACATTTTGGGGGTTTTATACAAAACCCTGGTCCAAAAAATCGATAATTTGACTATAACTTCCGAACCGCTTATATTGTATATATCGGATATGTGAATCCGGCTCTAGCCCGGACTTTCGGGTCAAAAATATGGGTTCCTGGGTCCGACCCCCAAAAAAAAAATATTTTCCCGGAATCAGAGTAAAAATACCTACCTCATGAAAAAAATCGAAAAAATCGAAGAGTTTTTACAAAACTGGAGTTGTTCCAATTTTTCTTAAGAATATTTTAAATGTTTCATATTTTCCAAGACGGTCACAATATCAAATTACACTTGGCCCCCTTTTGATCACAATTGGGCATTATTGACAACAACATCGAAAAATCCCATTTTCTCTCTCTCTCCCTCTTCCCTTATCCGATATGGCAACATCATCAATTATACGCTTGTCTATTTTTACGAAAATCATCGGCAACAACAATTAAGCTTTAATCTACCAACTAAACTGTTTTTAATTTAATTGTATCTTCTTCTTCTCCCACCTTTCCTTTTTGATTAGTTTTGCATTGTTTTATTCTTGTTTTTCGAAACATACTTTTGTTTTCTTTTGCGACATTCAGTTAAAGATATTTGTAAACAAACCAAAAAAACATATTCTAACAACAAAATAGTTAGCAGCAGCAGCTAGCCTACCCCCCGAAACAAAAAAAGAAACAATTCGACTAGAAAACATTCAATAAATCATGCTAAAAATGTCAAATAAGCGCAACAAACCGAACCGAACGAACGTCTTCGTCGTCTCGCTTTTATTTTTTTGATAGTATTGGGAAATACAAAAACTAATGCATTTTATCGTTTCTTTTCGGTCGTTTTTTTTCTTGTTTCATTCTTGTCGTTGTTGTTGTTGCTGCTGCATGAGAATGTGTTAGTGTGTGTTCTGTGCTATGGTATGCTATTATGTATGCTTGTTTGTTGCTTGGCTTGCCTTTCCCAATAAGAAACAGCACAAGAAGACGACGACGACGAAATAAAAAAAAAAAAAACAAACAAACATACGCTCTGAAATCAAATAACAGCAGGAGTAACAACAACGACTACAACATCACGACCAACACCAACAAAGTACAGAACTAACATTTTCAACCATACGCCCCTCTCTCTCTTATCCATGTCCAATACTCAAGCCAGCCGACATCATCGCTTTTATTCTACACAACCAACAACACAACAGCAACAACAAAAATAATAACATGAACTTACGAACAGCGAGCGAGCGACAGTCAAGTCAATCAGATCAGAGATGGCAATTCGAAATCAAGTGTACACTTTTTGGTACGCATTACAGTATCTGATTGGAATAGATGTCAATACCCTCAGCCATAGAGCTTTTTAGACATCCGTTAAAGGATGGAGCTGGACGTAGATTACAAATCTTAATTGGATCGTCGAAAAAAGTAGTCGTATAGTCCAAATCTACGAACAATTCTAGTTTAGTAAAAACTCTTCGATTTTTTCAAATTTTTTCCAGAAGTAGGTATTTTTACCCTTATTCCGGGAAATTATTTTCTTCTCGATCGACGGGCCCGGACCGCAAAAATTTGGCCCGTGTTCAAGACCCGGTCTAGACCCATATCCACTTACCTGATATAGAAGATATAGGTATCGTTTGAAAGCGTTTCGGAAGTTATAGTTAAATTATCGATTTTTTGGACCCCGATTTTTTATAAAACCCCCAAAAAGTCGAAAAAAAGGTCCATTATGGGGGTCAACAAAATTGATGCCAAATTATAGCTGATACTCTTACCTTTCCAAAATGATAAAATTAATACTTCGGATCCAGAGATATGGGTCTTTGATGTGGTCACACAAAAGGAATTTATATCGTATACAGAATGAGATGAAAAACTACAACCAACTTCAGACTGCTGTCATTTCTAAGCCACTCGTCCGACAGCTGTGAAAACTATTCCTGTGACAGCTCATTATATTATTTACAAGCATACAAAAGCATTTTGGTCGGAATTTTTCAGAAAAAAAGTTATTCGTGATGGAATTCAAGCGTGATAGCGCGATTTCTTTATATTTGGCTGGAAAACCACAAATGGCTATCGTTAGAGAACTCCAGCATTTAAATGTGAATAAAGCTTCTGTGTCTCGTACCATCGCTCGTTACCGTGATACTGGTAGCGTGGCCCGACTTCAAGAAAGTGGACGGAAGAAAACAGCATCATCAGCATCAGCAAAACAGCAACATCAGCAGAAATGGTTCGAAAAGTGAAGAAGCGACTTGATTGAAACCCGCGTCGCAGTGACCGAAAAATGGCTCGTGAGCTGAATATATCGCAATATTCCATTCTGTAAATATTGTAAAACGAGCTCGGGGTAAAGCGATTGAAATTCCAAAAAGTGCAAGAACTTACACCGAAGCAGAAAGAAAATAGACTCAAAAGAGCTAAAGAGTTGCTTTGCTTGGCCGAAAGTGGTGAACTGCCGAATTTCGTTTTCTCCGATGAAAAAACATTCGTTGTCCAGCAGTTTTTAAACAAACAAAATAATCGTGTTTACTTGCCAAAGAGGTCAGTTGAAAATGCGCAACCAGAACTCAAGCGCCGGCCATGGT